ACATTTAGATTGGTAGAGAAGAGGAGAAAGACAGATATAAAGATAGGCGAGGGATAGAAAATGGGATAGAGAAGAGAGACTGATGGATGGATGGATGGATAGATAGGTAGATAGATAGATAAATCGGTAGATAGATAGATAGATAGATAGATAGATGGATAGATAGATAGAAGTATAGAGAGATCACGCGTCATTGTAAATCCTCGTCGATGACGCTGCGACGCGAACGAGCGCTGAGGTACGTGTAGCACTTTTGATTACGTTTGATTAATTATTCGCTCCGCTCTTTTTTGCTTTTGTTTGCTTTTCAACTGTTTTTTTTTTCTTTTTTGTTTTGTATTTATCTTTTTTATCCACTCCCTCGTTCGGCGGGGGCTCGAGCGTGTCGCGCGAGTGAGAGTGCTGCTGTTGCGGCATGCTCTGTGCTACGGCACTTCGGGAGAGGTGTGCGCCAGGTGAATAACCTTTCGAACGGTTTCGGAGGGCGAAACGAGAGAGAGAGAGAGAGAGAGAGAGAGAGTCTGCGAAATAAAAAAAAATCCGCCGTAGTTTCCGCTTCTTCATTCGACATTCGCCGCGCTGTCCACGCAAAGTCACGGCGACTCGCGAGGAATTAACGGGGAGAGTGCGCGGTAAAAGGATCAATTAAAACACGACTGCGATCCGTTGCTCAGCCGAGCAAATCCGTAATGCTGATTCAAAGCGTTCGGGGGGTGGGGGGAGTGGAGGGGAGGGGAGCTCGCGGGATTTCGGATAATCGCGCGTATCCCGGCCTGGAGTATCGCGCATTCACGATTCCAGCCGCCGGATCGGTCACACATCGGGAGCACACACTTGGGGCTTGCGAGCAAGCAGGCAAGTCCGCAAACTCTCGAAAGCTCGGCCACTCGCGAGATTCAGACTCGCGATCACCCTCCGCCGACGACGACGACGACGACGCTTCTTCCTTTCCGCGCGAACAGCCCCCGCTCGCGGACGAGCGGTCGGACGACGAGGACTCGAGGACGCTCGGGATCCCCGCTTTTACGGTTTTATCACTTGAACGCTTTGCTATTGAGTGTCTCGATGTACGTCCTACTGTTTTACGCATACATACTTACACAATACAACTATCGCGATTACCGTCGGATTAATAAAATACCTATGCGTCTGTTGTCCTCGTTTTGTTCTTTTTCTTTTTCTTTTTTTTTTCCTCTTTCTCTTTTTTTTTTGTCTTTTTTCTTTTCCTTACAAGCTTGTTTGTCTTCTTACACGTCTCCGTGGCTGCGGTCGGAATTGTTTTCTTTTCCTCTTCTTCTTTTCTTTTCTTTCCTCTCGGGAGCTCGTCCCGAGGCCGACGGATCCGACGGCAAAGAGCGCTGCGGGTTTGGACTTTCAGCGAGGAGTAAATTGACCTCATCGGGAAACAGTCTCGCGAACTGCGCGATTGCAATTAACTTATCTTGCGGCTGATAGCGGAAACCCGCAGACTTTACTGTCAGACCTATCATATTCGTTTGCTGTTGAACCGATCGTATTATTATCTCTTTCTTCTTCTCATCCCCTCTGTCTTTTTTCTTCTCTCTCGAGGGGTTTTTTTATTCTGAGCTACACTTTCGCTACATTCTCTACATTCGAAATGATACATGTGTGTGTGTGTGTGTGTGTGTGTGTGTGTGGGTGTGGGTGTGTGTATGTGTACGTATGTTCTTCTCTGTTCTCCCGTTCGTTTCGATTGTGCGTACAGAGAGCGGAGGCAGAAATAAACTGTAGAAATGCGGAAAGTGCAGCTGAAAGTTGCTGATCGATTTAACAAATTCAATCGCAGCAGGCACCGCGCTGAAATAATGGCGCAAATAAATGTGGACGCGTAACCGCGCGCCGATCGATATTAATTCAAGCACGCTGCGTGCCTCTTTCCTATTATTGCCCGGCGGGAACAACTCAAGGATACACGAGAGGAGAGATCGCAACGGGAACACAAGAGAGAGAGAGAGAGAGAGAGAGAGAGAGAGAGAGAGAGAGAGAGAGAGAGAAAAAGAAACGGTGTATGTACGATTGATAGTTCCAAAAGATTTATTAAAATAAAATGTTCAAGCACGATGTTGACTCAACAGCGAACGGAATTCTTCATAAGCGCAATCGAGAGTGAATGAGAATTACGGAATACGGAATTTCTTCG